GGGCGCCTAAACGGCCCAAGGGGAGCCCCAAACGGTCCCCCCCCCCACACACACCCACCAGTCGCCCGAAGACGGCCCCCAAAAAACCCAAGAGGCTTTCGAAATCCATAAAACAACAAATTGCCAGTTGGTTTGTATACAATTTTCAGATGATCGTTTCTTCGGTTCCCTGGGCCTCCGAGACCGCCCGAGCGGCCTCCCAGATCGCCCCAAGACTTACCAGGAAGGCGTCAAGCCGGTCCAAGAGACCCACATATTGCCCAGCAGGCCCAAAGATGGTTCCAAGAAAACCGTCAAACGGCCCAAGATGGCCTCGGGACCCGCTCGTTGAGGGAAGCCGCGACGAGCAGCATGATGGCCCTAAGAAGCCCGCCAGAGGTAGCACAAATACATTCAGGAGGCCTCCAGAAGCTTCCAAGTAGCCGCAATAAGCTCTCGAGGAGGGGGTTCCGCCAAATGAGAACGGGTGCGCACAACAATGATGAAGGGGAAGGGTTCGCAGAGAATGGTGAGAACGAGGAAAAAGAAAAGGAAAGAGGAATAACGGGAGCAGGAGGAAAGACACGGAGACAAGGACACATCACATCATTCATGTGTTTTGTCCTCTCGCTCTCTCTCTCTCTCTCTCTTCCTCCATCGCTCTCAATATTTCATTCCGCCCGTGCGAAACTTGAAGGACCAAGGTGCATGGCGCGAAGCGCCGCTGCAGACTTGAAAATACATATCCAACATGTGCTCCATGGGTTGCGTTTCACATGGTAATCTGCGCCTGGCACTCGGTCCACGGTTATTCCACATTTCACAGCATGATCAGTACTTCTGGAGATTATGGCACCACGCGAATGCACTACACCATGACATCTCGCGACACCGCGCGCCATCCCACACAGCCGCGACACCACGTAACGCCACAAGACACCACGCGAGGGCCCATGACACCACATGCCACCACATGGCCCCACACGGCCTCACGCACATAAACACGGACGGCACTTCACACACGACGGAAATACGACATTGGAAATGCATTGCTCGCGCAATGGAATTTAGTACGGAAGTGCCCGCCTCAACCTCCACGCTGCCAGATTGTCGAAGCCAAATGTTGCCATTGGGTGGCACTTACGGGGCAACGCTGCGTGATCATATTGGGACTACGGTAATCTTGTCGGCCATGACTTCCAGCTTGTCTTGGGCGACGATGCCGCCTAAGGCACGACACTAAAGTACCCACGAACAGCCTTTTTCGACCTTCTTTCCACCGCCCGAGATGAGAATCCTCGAAAGCATTTAAGGCTTCAGCCCTGGAGCATCTGACAGAAAAACAGAGGGGTAAAGATGGAACCCCACTCAGCACTTTGGTCAATAAGCAATGTGATCCGACATCTCACGTTCGTCCCGTCTCTTCCCCTTCACTTGCCAGCATTCCCCTCCTTTCCTCTCCTCATTGCTTCTCCACGCCGCCCCCTAGATGGTTGCTAATCGCGACGCGTCGATGACCATGACGAATGGTGAGGGCTGGTGATAAAGGGGGACCCAGCGTGACGGACGATGCTACAGTCAAGACGAGGACATGAGAACCCCTTCGGGCTCAGAAGGGGCTGGGAATTTTGGGCCGTTCCTCAGAGTCCAGGCCGGCGAACCTCTTCGTGGCCGAAGTTGGCCGTGGCCCGACAGCCCTTTCCGTTCTGCATGGAGCGACGCGCGCGCTCTGACATCACACAGGGTATGATGCTCGGTGGCGGGCGTTGTCTGGCCATGCCGCCTGGTTAAGGATCTGTCACAGTATGTTTGGACTGCACATTCGGTTCGGACCTGCGCTTCCAACGGAGACGCATAGTACTACAGTCGGCCCGGAGTAGTAGGTCGACGCTGGCAATTCAAGGGTATTCTTGTGTCCTGTGTCTCGCGACCCATGCCTCGCACATTCCTGTGGCAATGTAGCCCTCGGAAGGGTCTTGTGTCCTCTCGCGTGTCCTGTCCAATCAAGTCCGACTGTTGTATCTTCTGCGCCCTAGTAGATGCGGCTGGTTGGCGATCGGCACGGATGGAAGCGCGTGGGTCAGCGACGGGCCTCGCTTCCGTACAGAATCGGCGCGCTCCGTCGCCAAACATCCGGCGGCACTGGTCTCGTGCTTCGGGTGTGTGTGTGTGTGTGTGTGTGTGTGTGTGTGTGTCTGTGTTTGGCCGATCTGTGGGTTTTTGGCGCCCACGTGCCAGACCCACGGGCTCATACAGTTGGGGCGCTGAAGAGGAAACCTATGCCGTTGGGGAGGGGCTCGGTGTTCCTTGATTGTGGTGCAGTTTGCCTTTGGTTTTCCTTTGGTTTTCCATAGGAAATCAAAACTTAACTTATGGGAGCAAGGGGCCTCGTTCCTTGTTTAGAGTTCCTTTGTCAACGCCCCGGCTGTAATGCATTGCGGAGACACAAGGAAAAGGACACTTTGCGGACGGATCCTCCTTGGGAGGACATTGGTGTTGTAGCAGCGACCCCTGTCTCACCGGAACGAGATAGAGACAGAGAGAGAGAGAGAGACAATGGGGGAGCTTTCTGGCTCGGGCCGGCCCCGGACGCTTCCGAGGTCAATGGGCCGTGTCCACGTCTTCGTCGTCCGAAGGGGTGTGTGGGGCCAGCGCGGGGTTGTCTCTGAGCCGACGCCTAGCGCCCCCGTGCCGTTCTCCTGTCTGCGCCCGCCGGAGTTGGAGGCCGCGGCGTCTGCCGCGCCTCCAGGGCGAGGGGCCTCAGAGGCGCACTTCTGCACCGCCTCGGTGCTACCCGCGGCATCGGGCTTCTTTGCAACCGCTGCACTGCGGGAGTGCGCAGTGCAGTCCCACGCATCCATCACTCGCAGGACGTCGAAAGCGCGCAGTGCGGTCCCGCGCATCCGTGATCCGTCGGCCGTTCAAAGCGCGCAGTGCAGTCCCGCGCAGCCGTTACTCACCGGCCGTTGGAAGTAGGTGGTTTTGGATCCTCTGCATCCAATCAATTTCAGGCGCCTTCTTGCTTCAGTGATCAAGTGGCCTCCCCTTTTCCTTTATCAGGGTGCCCTATGTTTATTTGGCTTGCGTTCGGCGTGGAAGGTTGTAGCAGTCTCGAAGAATCTGCAAATGATACGGCACCCAAGCTTTCGTCGGCGTCGGCGCGTTGGGTATCTCGATGGTACACTGCTTGACGCAAGCGGTCAAGAAACCGCGCGGGTCAGGGGGCCCTGGGTTTCTCTGTTTGCAGCCGAAGTGTAAGAAGCGCAACCCTATAGATCAAGAAACCCCGGCGGACTGCAAGGCTGAGTTTCTTGCGGTGGGTGTCTTGTGTGTTAGCTCCCGCTGTACAGTCGGGGCGCTGCAGAAGGAAGCCTGTTCATCTGGGAGGCGCTCCGTGTCCCTCAGTTGTTTCGCAGTCTGCCTTGGGTTTTCCTCCGGCTTTCGATGGGACGTCGACGCTTAGTCTAGTCGGGGGTGGACAGGACCCCCAACAGTGACACGTCGATTAGTGAATTGTCCGTTTTCGGTTCTCGAGAGGGCGCCGCGGCCGTTATTTTCCAGGCTTGCGCCCGCTAGGTTTGGGCCTCAGGTCGTTTTCACTAAACCACGTTTTACTGAAGGGAGATCTGTCCATCCCCCGATTTAGGGCTCCGTGGGTCAACGCCCCGACTGTCCCAGCACTGCCGCCCTGCCAGCGGCGGCGGGCTTCGCCGATCGGGCGGAGGCCGAGCAGCGCGGGCGAGCAGCCGTGGCGCGGCACGCGGACGAGGACCCCGCTGCCCAGGAGCCCCGAGCAGCCTGCGGTGCTCCCGTGGGCTCTTGCCTGCACGAGTCTTCGAATTCTTGTTCCTTGTAATGGTTTTGTCGGCAAAATGCCCTCGCCGTAGCTCGAAGAGGACCCCATGCCGCTGTTTGCGCGGCGTGGGGGACCTGCATGAGTTTTTGAATCATTGTTCCGTCATGGTTGCTTCGGCCAAAAAGAAAAACGCCCCGACTGTGTGCTCCTGCCCACTTCCTGGCACCCCTGCGCCCGGCGGGGTCGGCGATCGGCAGAGAGGGGTACGCTGGGTGGGCAGACAGCAGCCCGACGCCACCCGCCCGCGGCACTGCGTGCAGCGCAGCATCGTGGTGCGCCCGCCGCCCCGCCGCCGCCCGCCGCCGCCGCTCTCTCTCTCTCTCTCTCTCTCTCTCTCTCTCTCTCTCTCTCTCTCCCCCCTAGGGAAAACCTCTTCGAGCCATGGAAAAAATCACGACGGGAGGTTTTTCGCTGCTTTCGGCCTCCGGGGGCCCTTGCCGGCCCTCGGGACCGTCAAAGAACGACTCGGGATGAGAAACCGGTCCCGGGGCGTGGGTCCAGGCCTTGCGGGGCGTCGCGCCATGACAAAATCATGACGCCGCACGAGGCGGCATTTTACAAGCGGCCGGACTAGTAGGTCGACCCTGCCAGATCAAGGGTGCCCTCGTGCCCTGTGTCTTGCGACCCATGCCTCCTGCATTTCTGTGGCAGCGTGGCCCTCGGAGGGGTCTCGTGTCCTCTCGCGTGCCCTCTCCAATCAAGTCCGACTGTACAGTCGGGGCCCTGAAGAAGGAACCCTTTTCGCTGGGGAGGGGCTCGGTGTTCCTTGATTGCCTGAGGTTTTCCATAGGAAATCGAGGTTGAACTTATGGGGAAAAGGGGCCTCGTTCCTTGTTTAGGATTCCTTAGGTCAACGCCCCGACTGCATGGTGCATGCTGTAAGGACCGCGGGCCCGGGGGCCTCGGAGGAGCGCGTCGATGAGCTGAGGCCCCTCCGGAGCCCTGGAGGGGGTCACAAGCAAGCGTCGTGCGCCCGCCGCCCCCGCCGCCCACTTGCCGGTCCTTCCCCCCCCAGACTCAAAAATCATACGAGGATCGTATGGGAACGACTTGTTTTGTACTTATGTTTGTGTCTTTTCTGATGATTTTTTACTTTTATGACTATTTGTTATTTGTTATTCTTCGTCCCAAATTCGTCTGTAGGAGGACACGCCGAAACCGCAGACTGAAAAGTCATGACCACGATACCAGGCGTGCCAAAGAGGGCCTTGCCCTCGAGGATCGAGGGGGCGTTGCCACCTCTTCCTCCGCGGACGGCGGCGGAAGGGCAGCGAGAGGCGGCGGAAGCAAAACTGCGCTCCCGAGAGATGATGACATTTTTGGGTTCACTTGGCACCGCTCGGACGTATGCATTTTTCTTTCTGCGAGGACCATCGAGGAGCATCCTTGATCATTTGGCTTGGCGAAAAAACCACGCACTAAACCGGAAAAAAACACAGGGAATGGACGTCCGAGCGATGGCCAGTTCAGGGTCTCCGGAATCCGCCGCATGTTTCGAAGAACAAATGACGGCATGAGCACAATCTCTCGGAGTTCCGCGCGGAGTTCTTGGACTGGCGTTGGGCCCCCCCCTGCTGGCGTCTCCGGCGCCGCTCAGGGCGCGCTCCGCGCGCCAGCGAGGGGGGCCTGGTGCAGATCCAGGAGCTCCGCGCGGACCGTCGAAAGTTTATCCTTAAGCCGTGTTTTTGTTTTCTAGTGTGCCCAGATTGTCTGGATTTCCAGCAGGATTCCCTACGTCTTCTGATGCTCCGTACGGGTTGCAGGAACAAGGGCCTCCAGATGGGGCGTTCCAAAAACGACCTTGCATTCGAGGGTCGAAGGAGTTTCCATCTCTTCCGCGGCGGAAGGCGGTGGAAGGTCGGCGGAAGTGAGACGAGGCCGCCACTTCCGGCGGAAGCCGGCGAAAGCTCGTCGGACGGCGGCGGAAGTAAACAAAAAAATGCGCCCCCAAGAGATGAAAACGTTTTTCTCTTTGGGCACAGGGTCTTCGGAATTGGACAGATACTCCGGAATTCCCGGAACGGGTCCTCTCGGAGGTGGATCGACCTCCTACCCTGACACGTGGATTCAGGAATTGGCCGCTTTCGGTTCGCGAGAGGGCGTCGCGGCCGTCATGTCCTGCGGGCTCAGATCCGTCGGTTTCGGTCCCGGGCCGTTCTCGCTGTGGGGAGGTGTGCGAGAGGGAGGTCTGTCCACCGCCGGCCCTCCGCCAAGCGCACCACGGCGCCATCCTCGTCCGAGAGAGAGAGAGGGGGCGCCTCCGCGCTGCAGCTGCCCGCCGCCCCCGCCCTCGCTCTGCCGGGCGAGGGCCGCCGAGAGTTCAATGGGGAGGAAGGCATTCGGGGGAGCGTAAGGCCCGGGTTTTTGCCAGGGCTCGGGTTCGCCATCGTTTTTTGACGCCAGGACTACATAGACATACCCCAACCTGGGGGTACCGCACAGGGCCCTGCCTTCTCTGACGACACCGTGCGGCTTATCAAACGCAAGCACCACTGGCAGAGGCAGCTTGCGGTGCTGCCGTCGGGCTCACGCTGGCTCTACCAATACTTCTTGCAGCAGTTCCATGAGGCCGCGAAGAATGCCACAAAAGCGAAAAGTTTTGCCAGGGCTCGGGTTCGCCATCGTTTTTTGACGGCCGCGTCTCGGATTTTGACGAGGAGGAGTTCCGTGGGATGTCTGCAGCGGGAGGCCTCGTCAAAATGCAGGCTCGGCCTCGTCATTTTTTGACGACCTCGTCGGGGATCTCCGAGTCCCCTGTACCCAGGTCTTACGTCCCCCTGAGACATGCCGCTCCTGCAGCAGGAAGACATAAAAGAGGGGGCGCGCATCAAGAAACCATATGCTTTTCGTCAGGGAGCCCTGGGTTTCTTCGCTCCGCGCGCTGCGCGGCGACTGCCCGCGGTCGTTGAAGGGGCTGCTGCGTTCAGGGTGCTCCAGGTTTCCCCTCAGGTGCACCTCGCGCACGGATTCTCAGGGTTGGGTTTCTTGCCAGGGTTTCTTGCGGCCGCGCCCGCACTGTACCGATTTCTGCGCGCGGGGGGTCATGTTTTGCGCCGTATGGATTCAGTTGGGATGTTGGCGTAGCCAGCGAAACTGACCGAATCCATACATTGGCGCATTGATGAGATATAAAACCACATGTGGTAGAAACATACAAAGAACACTACAATCGGGGCCCTGAAGAAGGAACCCTTTTCGTTGGGAAGGGGCTCCGCGTTCCTTAAGTGTTTCACAGCTTGCCTCAGGCTTTCCTTATGTCTTCGGCAGGAAATCGAAGGTTAACTTATGGAAAAAGGGGCCTCGTTCCTTATGAAGGGTTCCTTAGGTCAACGCCCCGACTGTATATTGATGTCTTCCGAGCAGGCCATCCCGCCTCCCTCGAACTGGCCCTGAACAGGGCTAAGAAGAGCCTCCCGTGCAACTCAGCAGCCCTGCTGCCCTGCCCTCGTCGCCGAGGCAGGACTCGCCGTGGTGGTGCCCAGCGTCGTCGGCCAGGTGCACGTCGACGACGGCGACGATGTCTTGAGGCTCGAGGTTCGAGGACCAAGGGCTGCTTGGTGGCCTGGGCGCCGTTTGGGGGGCCTCCTGGAGGCTTCTCGTCACCACGGCCGGAGTCGCCTCAAATTTTTTGGGCAGGGCGTGCCCCCTTGGTGGCTTGGGCGCTGTTCGGGGGCCTCCTGGAGGCTTCTTGTCACCACGGCTGGAGTCGCCTCGAACGTCTGGACAGGGCGTACCCCTGGAGAGACCCAGTGAGTGGCGGTGTGGGTACCGGTTGCCCTGACCTTCCAGAGTGCTAAAAGATAGCCCTCCAGACCTATAGACCTATCTGGGCTGCCTAAAACCTCGACAGGGATTAGGATATCGAGGTCCCGGTGCTATTTTTTAGCCCTCCTGCAAGGTCAGGGTGGTCTCCCCCCGGGATGCCGTGCGCGAGAGTCATCGGGAAGGGTGCGTGGCGGCCAGAGGCGTGCGCGGTGCGGTCGGCTCGGCTCCCGGCTGCGTCGCAGTCGGGTGGCCTTCGGTCGGTTCGCTTCGGCCGTGTGGCGTGTCGTTGGCGCGTCGCCGCGCCCCTCTGGGCTGCCTGCGGTCTGTCGGTTTTGGTCGGTTTCGGTCTCGTTGTCGGTTCGGCCGGTGTTCGGCTTTGTTGCGGTGGCTCCAAGACGGGGTCCTGGGGGATAGGGTCCGTAGGACGAGGGGCCTCGAACAGTGTAAACCCACCCGTCGGTCCCTCCCTATCCCGAGGACCCCGTCCCCGAGGACCCCGTCCTTGGGCCACCGACTGTTGCCGCCGTGGACGCCTTGGGGTGCGTGGCGGCCGGGAGTTGCGGCGCAGGCCGCGCCCCTGACTTTGCCCCGCCGTTTGTGTGTTTGTTGGCCCCTCCACCGGCCCTGCCTTCGCTGCCGGTCCCTCCTCTTGCAGGTTCGAGCCCTTCTCTCTGGACGCCCGAGATGGGCACGGAAAGAATGGGTACTATGCCCAACAGCGGTTCCTGTTCATTCTGAACAGGGCTCGCTGTCCGCGCCGCCGCGGCCTGTGTCCATTCGAGACAGGAGGCCGCCCGCCCAACAGCGGCCGCTGTTAGCTTGGGACAACATTTGTTGTTGGGCATTGTACCCATTCTTTCGGTACCCATTTCGGGTGTCCAAATTCTCGGCGCGGCGGCGACGCTTGCGCAGGCCCCCAGCGGCCCGAAGCAAACTAGGCTTGAACGATCTCCGCTGCCGGATATCGAAGATCGGTCGAGGTGGAGCGATCTGCACGGAGTCAGAGACCATTGTGCACGTCGTGACGGCAGGAGCAGCCCGTGTCCATGCCCATGTCCATGCCTTCATCCTCCTCCCCCTCCTCCTCGTCCTCCTCGTCCCCCTCCTCCTCCTCCTCCTCCCTCTCCTCCTCCTCCTCCTCCTCCTCCGCCTCCCCTCCCTCTCCCCTTCTCCTCTCCTCGTACTTTCTCCCCCTTCCCTCTCCTTCCTCTCTACTCCTCCTCCTCCTCCTTCCTCTCCTCTTCCTCCTCCTCCCTCCTCCTCCTCCTCCTCCTCCTCCTCCTCCTCCTCCTCCTCCTCCTCCTCCCTTGTGTGGTTAATTCTGGCAGAGCAAGTCCAGAAGGGGACCGTGATTGCACGGTCGGGTAAGCCCCGCTTGCTTGGATTGTTGTCCAGTTGTATTGTCTCGCGGTCGGGGCGGTGGGAGGTGGGGGGTGGGTTGGGCGCCGAAAAGGTTGGGAGGTCACCATGCCACTTGGTGTTCATTGGCTCGATACGCCCATCGCCTGTTCTTGATCGCCTTCAAAGCTCTGGTTCATACTCATCTCTATTCCGCATCAAGCCAGTTTTCTCCCCTTGTTCTACTTCTCCCTCCTTCTGCATATCTGTCTCCTCTTCTCTTCGCCCTCCCCTACTTGCGCAGTGACTGCTTGAGCAACAATTGGCGGCCTCCGTACGCTTCCGCTCGCCCCCCCCGAGATTGTATCACAGCATGGCCTGGTGTCCTTCTTCTCGAAGGCCATGCGCCATGTAGGACAGAAGGGATCGGGGGGCGCGTCGACTTGATAGCCAGGACAGAATGAGGTAGCTACATTTGCTTGCACTTGCGTTTTGGTTGGCCATGCATTCAGGATGTGGCTCGTCGCCGCGATCGGTGCCAGCGTAGAACAAGAGTTAGGACGACGCATAATTAGAAGCAGTTCTGGTTTTGATTCGAGGAATAGCCAAGAGAAAGCGATTGGATGTATTCTGCTGCAGATGCGTCAAGCTGTTCCGGGGCAGTGAGGCCTAGAGGAGCTTGCAACTCTGGTGCGTCACTCGCAGTCCGTCCTGTGGTCCTTTCCAGCCTTCGCTCGCAGTCCTCGACCCCAATGCGCATCTCCAGATGTTTCCGCTCGCGGTTCCACGTCGACCTCGCTATGCAGCGGACAAGTTGCCAGGGCTGGCCTCCCAAGTTTTCATCCAGCGCAGCAGAATCCCATTCAGCTTTTTCCACGCTGCTCTGCTGAACCCTTTCGAACTAGTCGGATACGCCTTCCCAGATTTGGTGGGTCCCCAGGCCCCCGTCCCCCCCCCCCCCCCCCCTCTCGTCGAGCCACGGATACGCCATGATACGCCGCCCAGAACGCCGGAAATTGCTTCGTAGACTCTCTAGAGGATTTCCTTGCAGCCCAGCAGCCC